ACTCACTTTAAAGGCATTATCATCTATGTATTTCAACCAGCCTCAGCCGATACAGCCACCTATCGGAAAACGGCGGAGGCAAAGTTGTACACCTGTATATCTATATGATATGCCGTGAATTTGTTTCTCTTTTAGTGAATTTTTGGCAAAAAGGTCTTAAATATGTCCATCTAATGTTATCTATATTTCGTAAAATACTCGTATTTGGTCAGTAAAAAGCCACGCATTATTTTTGCAAATAGATGGCTTTGGTGATCCGTATCTCGCGTTCTATAAGTGGGGTTGAATTACGCTAAATGGCGTTAGAAAAGTGGTATTTTGCCGTAAAATATATAATGGAAGAAGTGTTGATCACTCAACTCAGTAGTGTTTGGCCGCATGTCGAAGATGGACAGCAGCAAAGGAAAATATGCTTTATTCTATGATTTTTCCACTACACGGTGTGGAAGACCAATTCTCGAACATGTCGGTAAATTAATGGTCGAGTCTAACCGCTAATTTTCTAATTGCGGCCACCCCTAGGCAGGGAATGTCCAACCCTCCAAGTGTATTTCGGACATGAAATAAAGGCTCCTCTTAAAAAAAACATCAGCCGTTTGGAGGTGGCTTAGTGTAACCTGTAGGTCCCTCCATTTGTTTGAAAAACATCAAAAAGTAAAAACCACAAATTGGAGAAGGAGCTCGTCCGAAAATCGCTTCAACGGTTAAAAAGCTCCAAATATGTATATATTTAACCGCTTGGGACACACAAAGAAGCTCGATGTATGAGTACCACACATGATTTAACGAGAAAAACCCTCATCGATCGAATTTTCATCTCCGAATCATTGCTGAATCGTAACAAAGTCGATCCGTTTCTGAAGCGAATGATGACTGGTGTTAAAAACTTAGATCACTTACAGCAATGTCAAATGAAGACGGTTATGGGCGACGATCTCCAAAGCGGTATTGACGGATTGGTGGGAATGGTAAGGATTAATCCACTATGAACTAACCCACTACGGTTAAACTCTTAACTCGAACCTTTACTGTCAGAGCTTGGACCATCTGAAGGAAGCAATCGCAAAGAAGCGTTCAGCTTTGGCGATTGTGATTCGTTACAAGGTCTTTGCCAATGGTTTTTGCCAATAGAATCAAGGGTTTCTTTGACAGAGGCATAATGCTATTATCGAATAATTTTAACTATGGTAAATAAAGCCTTCAATTTAAAACAAAAAGAATGAATGACTTTTGACTTGAGCTAACAATTAGCATTCAACCCACGTAATACGCTTCTAATTGCCTCAATATGGGATCGGAAATAGTAGTTTTCCAAAAATTTCAACATGGGCGCCATCTAGTGCCCACCAATGTCGCCTATGCTCTTGAAAAATGTCTGAGCAATATTCTCTACATATCTTAGTTAACTTTATCAATGTAAATTTAGATATGGGTTTGTCAGAACTTCCCCAAGCCATCTAAGTTATCAGATTTTAATCGTAACTTTCTTTAAATTGTGTTTCTCAGAACTATTAAAGTCTATTTCTGCGAAAGAGAACGAGGGAGAGCGAGAGAGATATCATCAGAGATGAATCGCATTACTTTTCTAAGAAACCAACTAACCGACTCTGACTGAACATCTGCTGTTGATAATTGCCAATGATAGTGAAGTTTGGGAATGGTAGTATACATACCACCGAGATCACATAGTTAATTCATAGAGGGAGGGAGATGATTGCAAAGCCTACTCTGTTATCACGAATTGAGACTTAAAATAAAAAGATGAGTTAAACCTAGCTTCTCATTGACAAGAAGATTTGATTGCTCTCTGATTGAGTTAGTTACTTCGTAATGCATCCGTCGCTAGATCGTGAATCAGTGTTTAAGTGCTTGCGTCGTGTTGTCAAAGCTAAGTCTGTGAAAAAGTTTTCTCGCAGCAATCTAGTTGCTCAAGCTATTAAATTTGAATTTAAAATTCACAATATTGCTGACATTAGTTGATGCGAATGCTGTAGGACAGTCGAAGTGAACATTTTGGAGGAAGCGATGTCAAGTCACACTCAGGACTGGGCTATGGCAGAAGTAGTGGTTTACACACGTCTCCTCTGTACCTGCAGACAGAAGTCGGAAGTCATTAGAGAAGTGGTTGAGTGCCTGGTATTTATGCGGATTTCAATGTCGATTTAGAAGAAGCAGACACTTTGCTCTAATCTCTTGAGTTTGGTCACGAGGCATGTTCTTTTCTCCCCCAATTATCTCGTGTTTAGCACGAGGCGACTTCTGTCATTTCAGCTTGTTCCACTTGAAAAATGCTACAGTAATGAGACAGCCTCTGAAGCCTAATGGCCTCTACAGCCCTTTCTAGCATAAAGTTTTGAGCCAACGTGTCGTTCAAAACGAGATGAGATCTTTAATCCAAAACTGTTTTATATTTTCATTCGTTCCTCTCTCTCTATTAGAACTTTGAAGAAGCTTTCCGTCACAAAACTCGCTATTAAAAAGGTTTCACTGTACTTCGCTTAACACCTGAGCAAGTAAGAGCGCACACATGTGTGATTAAGAGCGCATCAAATACTCAAAGAGCTAACAGCTGTGTGGAAATTCACCACAGCATTCGCAATATTATGCCAAAGCGTTGAAAGCAACTGATAGCTGCAGGATAAATGAGCAACGGCTCACACGGCAATATACATATAGATAGACTCGTACTATCTAGGCAAATGTTAAATGGTAAAAACTAACATGACAACGTAAAAACAGTTGCAGTGCGTAGGCGGTTGTCGTAGATGTCGTAGCCAAAACACGTGCACGGCTCTCGTTCGTACGCGTTCTAAAGCAGCATCTACATATAGCTATCTTATAGCAGCTTCACTGCTTTTGGGCAAACTTTTTATTGGATTCTTCTCTTTTTCACATACGGTGTAGTACTACTAACTACTACTGCATATACTATTTACTACTCAATACTATATGCAAAAGTGCGATTTATATCTGCGGCTGACTTTGAGTGGAAATAAAAGTATAAAAATAGGACTTGAAATTTAAAAATGAAATAGTTGATTTAAATATTTGGCTAAAAATAAAATCAAATTACCGAAATTAAAAATCTAAAAAAATAGGAAAGAGCAAAGTAAAGAAAAAACAATATAATAAAGGAAATACAAAAATCTTATACCGTAACGACGACAATATTTGCATGGAGTTTTTATGTAAAAATGTACACAAAAATTACGAAAAACTCAAATTTAAGCAAAGTATAAATTAATTAAATATTATATTTGAAAAATATACAAAGAATTTGTGCTTGACAATAAATGCTTGGTGTAAAAAAAAATAAAATAAAAACAATCAGCAGAAACGCAATTTAATAATAAACAAATTTAATACTAAAAAATTATATAATAAGAAATATTTTATTAACAAAAACAACATAAAAATAAAAAAAAAAATTATAACAAACAAAATTTAATATATAAAAAATTTTAATTACAAAAAAACTGTTATAATTAAAAGAAAATATTTAGTATTAAAAGAAATTAAAATAGAGAAATTCTCAAAAATAAAATAATAATAAAGTAAATAATACAACTACATATTTATAAAAGAAAAATGTAAATAAAAATATTAATAATAAAAAATATTTAAAAAGAAAAGACAGTGCACAGTTCTAATAATAAAAATATTACCTAAGAAAAATATATAATAATACAAATATTTTTAAAAACATTTAACCGTAAAAAGGTTTTAATAATAAAAACATTAATTTTAATACAAAAAAGAATTTAAAAACAATTTCAATTATTTAAAGAAAGGAAGTATTTATTTAAGTAATAAAAAAAATTTAAAATAAGAAGATATTTTTAAAAATAATAAAAAATAATAAAAAATAATATAACAAGAATGATTTAATAAAAACGAGTTTCATTATAAAAATATTAAAAAATTTTAAAATAATAAACAACAAGTATTTTTATAATAAAAAAATTTAATGACAAAAAAATAAACAAAAACTTCTTTAACATTGAAAAGAATTCTATAAAAAAAATTAAAAAGAAATTAATAAATAAAAAATATTTGTTAAATAAATTTAATTCATAAAAAAATTTAAAAAACAATAAGTATTTCAATAATAAAAAAAATAATTTAAAAAAATCAATAATCACAAATAAAATCAAAAACAAAATATATTTTAATAATAAAAAGCGTTTACAAATAAATAAAATTACTCTAAAAAAATATTTCAAATAATAAAAAGAGTTTAATATCAATAATAAAAAAAAATATTTGAAAACAAAAAAAAAATTAAATAAACAAAATATATTTTAATAATAAAAGAGAAAGAGTTTAAAAAAAAAACATTTATTTTACAAAAAAAATTAGCGAGTTATATATTAACAAAAAGAAATTAATAATAAAAAAGTAATAAAAATCAATATAAAAAAATATTTCTAATAATAGGAGGAATATGCTAATAAACAAATTATTTAAAAAACAGAAAAATTAAATAAATAAAATATATTTTAATAATAAAAAGAATTTAATAGAAAAACGTATATTTTACAAAAGAAAATACATTTTAAAAATAAAAATATCAACAAAAAGAATTAAATAGTAAATAAAAATTTTAATAATAAAAATATATTTCATTTAAAAAATGTGCAATATAAATTTCCATAGAACTTACAAAAAGGAAATTAAAAAAAAGATGTCAAATAAAAATTGTATTAAGTGGAACCAAATTATATTAAAAGTCATTCTTATAAACTAATAAGCGCAATTTAAGATGTTGTAACGGCGACAATAATTTTCTAAAATTATACAACATTTACATAAATATGTATTTACTTATATATAGAAAAAAAATTACTAAAAATATTTGTTAAGAATTGCAAAAATTATACTGGAGCTATAATTAGAAATTAAATACTAAATAAGTGAAAACAACAAAAACAGCAAAGACTAAAACCCTAACCTAAAATTAAATTGAAAAACAAACAAAAACCTAAAATAAAAACAGAAAATTAAGATATCTAACCTAAAATTAAAGCAAATTATATACGAGTATTAACGCAAAGTATCTGCATACATACCATGTCGTATAGTCCTTAAGGGCATGCGTTCCAATGAATTTACAACACATTTTTTGAGCTAAAAATAACTTTTTGGGCGAATTAAACAAACAAGCAGCCAAAGTCAACAAAAATTACCAAGCGCACCGCGACGCTGCCGCAAAGCAGCAAGCAAGCGACCCGAAAAAAAATTCCAAAACCCAAAAGCTACTTTGATAAGTAAAGCCAGCAAAAAAAAAAAAAAAACAAATACTAAAAAGAAGATAAATTTCTAATTAACAATCTCCAAGTAAAAAATTATAAAATTTTCGAACCCATTATGTGGCAAAGCTGGCATAAAAACTGGTTGTATTAATTAAAACTCAGTTTGAAAATAACACTTTGTAAAACAAAACGCGTAAAATAATTTGCAAATTCAATAAAGAATTAATCTTAAATAAATAATATACAAAGAAGCCATTTTTTTCAACTGAAAAAACGCCCGTCAGTAAAGAAAATACGCACCGTGGTGCACCACACGCAAACAAAATACCAGATAGCTCGCTGAAAATCCATACCAAAAACCCATAAGCAGCGTGAATACACAGCTTCGCATAATTCAAACTGTGTAGAGCCACCCAAACATACCTACTTACCATACCATACCATACTACCAGCGCAGCACACAACGTACCGGCATTAATACTGTAGCGCAAGTACAACGACGCATGCAGCATACGCACGCACAGATACAACTACACAGCATTGAAGCAGCAGCAGCGCCAAATATTTTATAAAATAAATATCTTCTATATTGCTGTGAGCCTGCCGTGTGGTGTAGCGCCTAAGTCCCGCATATACACACACAGAAGTATTAGAAAAGCAGCAACAACTGACAACCAACAATCGACAACCGCCAGTAAGGACGACAGCGACGACCCCTTCGAGGCTGCAGCAAAAAGTAATAACAACAGCAGCAGCATCAAAAGCAGGAGCTCCAACCAGCCGCTAATATCATTAGAAGACGAAGACAAAGTACGAAGAAAAAGGCGAACGGCACAAATAGAGCAGCGGGTGTCACAGCAGGGAGTCGCACTGACGGTGCCGAATTAAAATACGAAGAAAGTACGTATCTGTGTACAATACATAAGAAAACATATATGTGTATGTATGTATGCTCGCTGTTGTGAAAAATCTCTAACTGCATTTGGATTGTATTTACATATGCACATATATGCGTGTGTGTGCGCGTACGTGTATGAGTGTACATTGAGGTGTCTACTACCTACTCACCTTGAAAGTGGCAAGGAAGTGGATTAACAGCCTAAACTGGCCACACAATAACAATAACAATAACAATATTTTCTTCTCTCTTTGTACATAACCGTTACAAGCACAGTTACTTTTAGCACGATTTGACATTTTTCGCGCGTCTCTTTTTGTTGACGCAAAACGTAGTTTAGTTTCTTTTACGCATTTTGCTTTAGCTTGAGAAAACGATATATTCTCTCCTTGTTTCTTCTTCTTCTTTCTGTGTCTAAATCTTACACACATATACGCCTTGGTTTACATACAAACATATAAAGCAAAATTTCAGCGTATAAGTGCATACGCTCCCACCGTAAGGCAGCAATGATAACTGGAAAATGTAGTAATGACAAGGCAATAACAACAACTTGAAAATATGGTGAACAATATTTGCCCACAACAACACTGCGGCGCAAAAATATTTACTTTCAATTATGTTTTTTTAATTTTTTGAAAGTATAACTTCCTTGGACGCGCTGGACTTAAAGAGTAATTTGGTGATTGTGTTACGGAAGAAAAGTCTGATTGGCGGTGGCGTGCAGAAGTTGAGAGGAGATACGTCACTGCATTTTTTTTTAGGGCACAGCAGTTGTGAAGGCAGTGAGGGATAAATTTTTGACTTGAGTATTCATAGCAGTATGACGGGAAACTTCAGTCTAGCTACTCTGAAATATTTTGGTTCAAAATTCGCAGAAGCCTAATTGTTGCGTCCACTCACCAGCGGTGCAGCGAAGAGCGGTCGTCGGTCTGTTCTAACTAATAGCCTTCTCGCCTGAACGAGGTTATGATCTTAGGATATGGTGTGGTGTTGCTGTCCGAATGCTATGGCCTGGACGAGAAGATGTTAGGTTTTTATGACTATTAGCCGGCTCTCCGACAAGTCATTCCTCATTGCGTTGTTGTCGATTGATTTCTCTGCAGCTCGATACATGGTTATCTGTTAAACCAATGAAAATCCATTAAGTTATTTGACACGTACCGGATCGAAACACTCGAAACCAGATCGGCCATGATAGGTATGTAGACTAAGGACACATCTTCAGCGTCTTGTTGCAACCAATATACACAACCGACTCTTTGTAGTTAAGAACGGAACGGTCGTCGTTAAAAAGTTAAAATCATAAAAGAGAGCCAAGAAGTTTTCGACTCAACTTTTACTCCCTCTCTTTTAAAGCATTCGTCAACAACTCTATATAAGGGATCTGTGGGACAGAATTTCAAGCGAAACTATTGGTTTTCGCAAAGTCCAAATAAGGGCTAGAACGATGAGGATTGAAATGCGTGAGTATCAGGAACTCAACTAGAGATGATGAACGGGGAAATAGTCGAAATTAAGACGATATAAATAGGATTCTTTCAGAAGGTTGCCGGATTAGAACTGTTTTCTGTAGGAGCGAGAAAGGGTGTACAGAGATCTTCAAGCTAAAGCTGGCATGGCGCTTGCATCACCTTCTTTGCAGTATTTCTTCGGACCCAAGTATGATCGACAATTAAGGCTACTCTGCCCAATCCTGTACTCTGCGCCAAATATCATAGAATAAGCTTTCTTAATATCGCACATAGATCTTATCGAGCGTATTGGGTGAGAGATTAAAGCTTACAGAGTGAAGTTATTGGACCTCATCAGTATGACTTTAAATGTGACAAATCCACCACGTATTCACATTGCGTCAAATCCTGGAAAAGGCTCATGAGAAAAGGACTGATGCACGCTACCTTTTATGCAAACTAGCACTCAGCAATACCAAAAACCCCGTCAGATTTACGAAGGACTACTTCGAGCTGAGGTTTCCGACAAGGTGACTGTCTTTCCTATGACTTTTTTAACTTAATGGTAGGAAAATTAATAAGATTTGCAGAACTGAATATTGACATCAGCAGAGGCGTGGGAGTTGTCAACATCCAGTGAGTTTCCGGCAGAGAGGTTTTACGAGCGATTTATGACCATTTTGTCCACTGAGACGGTTTATCGAATAAAAAGATAGCAGTTACGCTAGATCGATCAACTTGTCCGATGAGAGCACTGCGGCTTTGGACGGTTTCGATTCAATTAACGCCTGTGGAAGCAGAGGACAGGAAGACTTACTCCGGTGAAATAATCAGGTGGAAAAGGGCTTGACTTTACTTGGTATTTAATGAAAGAGTATGAACCTTATAAAAGGAACGAAATTGAAGAAAAAAATTAACTTGAAAAACCTTGATGACGTGTACTCATTTTGCACCTCACCATATTTTTGTATGTTTTCAAGTTGTAACTCGATAAAATGTCACAGTTGGACAGTAAATTTATTTAGTTCTACATGAAATCAGTGAAATCAGTAACCATAGAAAACTCATAAAGCAGAAAGTAATATGTTTTTAACATTGTGAAATTTTGTTTGTGTGTATATTGAATTAGAACTTCCTTGGGATTGTGACATTTTTTCTTTAATTTCCTTTATTAACTTAAAAATTTCTACTTTACCATATCCTTTATGTGCTTTATGTGTTTATACATACTTGTATATACACATACTTGTATATACATATACTTGTATATACATATAAATATATTTATTTTACAAAAATAAATATTTACATATCATCCATAATGTGTCTGTAGAGACATACCTACATGCGTGTAAAAAAATTCGTAAAACAGCAATGTTTATGTTTGTTCAGTTGTATGTTATTGGCGAAAATGCTTTCTTGACTTTTTGGAAATAATAAATATATATGTATTTAAGAAAAGCCTCAGTCATTTTTTGAGGCATACCTCAAATTCGTAAGCATTTAATTGCCAAGTATGTGGAATTCATCCAAATATTTTCACACTCCTGGAATAAAAGTATACTCACTGCGGTTGATTGCTGCTTGAAGTTACAATAAAAGCAGTGTGACATGGCGTATGAGTGACATTGCTCACATGAATATTGAGGGTTGTTTTATACAATAATTAATAATTAATATTGCATACTAGAGCTTTTTCCAGGTTTATTCGCGCCAAATCAGTTTCAAATTGAAAAACGAATATATTTCATTCCAGCTGGGCTTCTGTGTTTTGTTTAGTTTGAATATAAATGCAATAATGTTTTCATTATTTGCCTCCTTTTAATAAATGGCTTTAGTGATCTAAAATGTTATTGGATATGATGATATTTTGTAGTTTTGTTGTTTTTTTTACTCAGCGGAGTTTGAGCGTTTGCCAAAGATTGACACCAGTAAGTAGGAAATACGCTATATTCTGCAATATTCCTTCGATAAAGGCGAAAACGCAAGTCAGGCAGCTGAAAATGTGAATGTGAATAATGTTTATGGTCCTCATACTACGTCAGTTAATTATGTATTGTACAATTTAGGGTTCACAAATTTAAAAGATGCTCCACTGTGTGGAATGACATTTGTCGCAAGTATCGAAAAAATAACGAAAATCGTTGAGTCTGACCGTCATCTCAGCAGTGTTTCTCAGGAGCTATACATTGCATAAAAAACAATTTGGAATCCCTTGAAAAGGCGAAATACATAAAGAAACTCGATATATGGTTATCATATGAGTTAACGAGAAAAAATCTCAAAGACCAAGTTTCCATCAGCGAATCGCTGCTGAATCGTAACAAAATCGGGGAAATCGCTTACAGCGACTTCAAGCAACAATGGTCATAGTAGGAGAATATTCAGCGGGATAAATGGTCTTCAAGCCAGAATCGACGGATAGGAAGACTTTGTTGTATGTTTGGTGGGATTGGCAAGGACCTACTCTCCTATGACCAAACTCTTAATTCGGACTTGTACCGACAGCAATTGGACCGTTTAAAGGAAGCAACCGCCCAGCAGCGCCCAGGGGAATTGTGTTTCATGAGCACAATGCCAAACAACACATCACACATTACAACTCTCCAGAGGCTCCGAAAGCTTGGTTAGGAGGTTCTTATGCATCCACCTTATATTCCAAACCTCGGATCAACTGCTCCTGTCTAAGGCGAAAGATTTGGCTGGTAAAATATTGGCCTCTAGAGAAGCCTGCGATAATCGATTGACTCAATTTTTCGCCAATGGAGACAAGAATTTTTATGAAAGAGACAATACTTCCAAAATGATGAAAAGTATACGAATAAAACGGTGTATATTCGAAAATAATAGGATAATTCTAACAATGGAAAATAAAGTCTTCAACTCAATGCGGAAATAATGGATTACTTTTTACTTGAGCTAATATGCTATCATTTGAGTATAAAGAGATTAGTTAGTTAAAAAAATTAACAAATCTTTTTGCTCTCAGTGATATAGAGCTGATGATCCGAGAAGTCCTGTGTTTTTTTTTATGTATGTGTTGAAGATCTATACTCTGTGATATTGGAAAAATGTTTTCAACGCCTCCTACATTTTAATTGCTCGTTGCAATTATGAGTGAAACAGTTCCTCATTACTCATGGTAACGATTTACAGAAGTTGAAGCAAAGCTTAATTGTTATCCACAAATTACAAATAATTTCATTTCATTTAAGCCGACGGTGACATTTACACAAAAATTATTTGATTATGACTATGGATTATTTTATGATAAATTCATAAATAAGTACAGGGCAAATGACACGCAACGTCATTAATAGCCCGAGAAGGGTCAAATACATACACGTATGTATGTTTTGATATACGATACATATAGGGTTATACACTTCGCGGTTTCAAAAGTACAAGCCCGTATTGTGACATCTATCGAACTTAACTGTCAAACCAAACATGTTTTGTTTTAGAAAAAGTTGGACGTTTAAAAAAAATTTAATGCTTAATAAGAGCATATAAATAAATTATATTTAATTGTTAATAATTGCACTTTG